TGAGGAATCGCCTTATATTGTTGTTAAACGGACCTGGATGGAAAGTCCCTTTGGAATGCATGTACACCACACGCTCGGAGTGGTGTTTGGAACAGTAATCATGAAGGTGCTGCAGTGTAGAAGACTCGTCCCCAGTCTGAGACGACTCCAGCAACTGGCACGTGGGACATTCAAGCAGTGCTGTCACGCCGCTGTTCCTAGGGCCCATGAACGTCGACATCAATTTTACGCCTTGGCCGAAAGCCTTCGAGAACCGCATCGTAGACAATTGTTCTGTGACAATTGAAGTTGTCAAATCTTCGGCTTCTTCCCCGCTATTGCTTTGAAACACATGGTAGAAAACTGTGAGCGGACGTGGCCATGCCCGAATGCTCTGAACAGTCACATTACGAACACGTTCTGTGTCCTGACCAGTCACATTGCTCTGACCAGTCACAGTGCTCTGACCAGTTAGATTGTCCTGACCAGTCACATTACGAACTTGCTCCATGCCTTGACCTGTCACCGTGCTCTGAGCAGTCACAATGCTCTGACCAGTCAGATTGTCCTGACCAGTCACATTACGAACTTGCTCCATGTCTTGACCTGTCACCGTGCTCTGCGCAGTCACAATGCTCTGACCAACCACATTGTTCTGACCAGTCAAATTACGAACACGTGACATCGGGATGGACCCGTGGCACCAGAACTTTGGATAGCAAGCAAGCCCGGACGACCATGCATTGACGAGCTTACCCGCGCCATGCTTCACGACAACAACAACAAAAAACAAGGGGGAGGACAAAATGCGAACAGAGGATGCGGAGTATGCATCCAGCACTGAAGTACCTACTTGGCTTGCGGTGTATTCTAAGGACTTGCGAGGGCATTGGTTTCCAAGAGAGATGAGCAGCGAGGCGACAAGCGGCACGCTCAGCGTAATTGCTTGAATCAGAATGGCTTGAGCCAAAATGGCTACGGACCTTTCGGGAAGCTCTCTTGGGCCGTCCTGGGATCCTGCTGCAGTGGAGGCCAGTCCACAAGAGCCCGTCCACAAGAAACCCAACCCCGAGATCCCGGGACGTCCACCGATTTTTTTCGTGTGGGAGCGCCACGCTTCCCATTGCAAAATCGTCGAAACCGCAGAAACCCAGGGCTCCCTGGAAGCAGGATGTTTCTTGGCACGAGCCCCCACTGTTAAAGGGAAATTAGGAGGACACACAAATAAATACACACAAATAAAAATAGTCCCCATATTTCCCCATATTTTTGGGGTTTCTGTCTTCCCCCCCAATTCCCATAGTTTCCCATATTTTCCTGGGAATCGAGGATTTAATTGTGTCTGTGTGTTTTTGTCCCCTCCTGAACTGTACTGGTGCGCGGTGGCGCTACCGTCGGACCTTCTCTCCGCGGGCGCTGCAAAGGTCGCCCGGAGCCCGCGGGAGCGCACCCACGGGCAGGAGGAGGAGGGGGAGGAGGAGGAGGAGGAGGAGGAGGAGGAGGAGGAGGAGGAGGAGGAGGAGGAGGAGGAGGATCCGAAGAGAAAGAGGGGCGGGAACCCAAGAGTATTGAGAGACATGCATCTCCATCAGACAAATGTACTGGGGCCCGGGGACACACAAAGGAATACACACAAATCCCAAGATTCCCCACATGTTCCCACATTGCCTGAGCTCTCGTCGTCCCCCCATTTCCATATTTCCCCACATTTCCCTGGGAGTCGCCGGTTGATTGTGTCCGTGCGTGTGCTTTTTCCCCAAAGTGTCACCACGTTCCAGCAGACCAGGCGGCCGCAAGCACCAAGCGCCCCACGGCCCAACTCCACCGACCCCCGCCCGTCGGGAATGCAACGGCGTGCGACGTGATCGGCTGCCCCCCTCCCCCCGGGTGCCCCTCCCCTGGGGTCTGAAATCCCATTAGCGAGGGGGGGGCGCTGGCCATCGCTCGGACGTCCATTCCCTGTGCCTTTTTCGGTTTTGTGCGTGGCTTTTTCGCCAAATGATCAAGGATGCTCCTCGATGGTCCTCGCCGAAGGAAAAATGCACACGTCCGAGCGATGCCAACGGCGGGGGGGGAGGGGGCTCGAGCTCCCAAACGCCCCCATCGGGGCATCCGAAGCCTCCGAATCTCGAGCCCGCGGCCTCCGGGATGCCCAGAGATGCCATATCAACTCGCTCTCAAGCTGGGCTCCGGCAGGCGAGGAACCCGAGAGGGCCTCAGGACTGCCGAGGAGGCCTCAAGAGGCGACCCGGGAGCGCTCCAACCGGGAGGGCCCCGAGAGGCAAGAACCGTCCAAATCCGCTGGGAGAAGCTCGCTTCTCGCGGAGGTTCGCACGTCTGGCCTCCACAGCGCCCAGGACAGCTCCAGGTGCTCCCAGGATCGACCCACGGCGGCCCAAGAGGCCCCCAGGAAGGCCCCCAGAGGGCCGAGGGGGGCCCCGAGACGACCCCCAAGAGGCGCCCAGGATGGCCCAACGGAGCTCCGGCTGGGTCCCAAAGAGGGGCCCAGGAGAGGCAGCCAAAACTGGCACTCCGAGCCCTGGGCCCCAAGGAGACCCCCGCGGCCGCCGGCCGGCGCCCAGGGAACGCCCAAGAGGCGCAGAGAGGCCCCCCGAGAGGCCCAGGAGAGGACCCCAAAAGGGCCCCCAAGAGGCCCCCCAAAAGGGCTCACCCGTGGACGGCATGCCTCTTCTGGAGGTCGGCGGAGTGGCGTAAGCCTTCCGAGCAGTGAGGAAAAGCACGCCCGTCGATCGAGCTGCCATGCTTAAAACATGCCCGCACAGCGCCGTGGCGCGAAAGAACAAGCAATGATATTGTGTGCGTGCATGTGCGTGCATCCCCATCTGGCTGAACACGGCAAGCCTAGAAAATGTGTGGACGAGTTTGGCTGAAGTCAGGCTAGGACCCGATCCTGTGTTGCTGCCTTGGCTGCACCGCATGCACCGCACCTTTGGGCGCGTGAAGCATCAACGGTCTATAGCGCTGGCAGTACGGGGAGCAAGCGGTGCCAAAAAAATGTGACAAACAATGGCATATGCATGCTCAGTCGGTACCTATACACGGTTGGAGTTTGCTGGGTTTCAAGAGACCTGCGAGCATGGTTCCGCTGCCCGCTTCCTCCTGGGGGGCAGTCAGGGGGGGGCGCAGTCAGGGGGGCGCAGAGGGGGGCGCAGTCAGGGGGGTAAAAAAACGGCGGCCGCGGCGTACACCCGTCAGGGTGGGTCTGCGCCACCGCCACATCCATCGCCTGTGTGCACCACAATCCCTGCGTACACGACAATGCCCAATGCCTGCATGGAACACAACGCTGCCTGTTTTCACCAAGTGCCTCAGTAAGCAGCCGCGTGCACCACAGCACTACGTCGGCTATGTAAACCATGGTGCCTGTGTACACTGCACAGTCGCGTGCGCAACAGCGCCTGTGTACATCACAGTGCCTGCGTGCACCAGAACGCTTGTGTACACCACAACACCTGTGCACACCGCAGTAACCATATGCACCACAGCACCTGAGCACACCACAATGCCTCCGTGCACTGCAACAAACGTGCCAGCAGGCACATTAGTCGCTTGCGAGCACCACGCTGCGCGAGAAAAGGCGGGGGGAGGGAAGAGGTGGGAAGAGGCGGGGGGGGCAGTTTGGGAGCAGGTGGGAGAGGAACTAGGGGAGGCGGGACTTGGGGAAAGGTAAGACATGGGGCGTCGGCTGTACGTTCGGTCCGCGCCGTGAAGATCCTAGCAGTTGGTCCCTGACACCGCGTGCACAGCCCAAGCTTGAAGGATTTGCGCAACCCAAAGCTCTCGGCCCAATCCTGAACCATGATTTTGCACTGCGGCTTCGCCTCTGAAAACCCTGGGGCCCGAGAGGCCCTCCCCAGGCTTGTCGCAACCTTGCGCACGCCCGCGCTAGGATCGCCGCCGCCCCGTCTCTGCGCCAGCGAACTGTCTGCGGCCAGAGGCAGTAGCAGACGACAGCGAGAACCCGCGGGCCCCACCCTCTCAGCGGGGCTCTGCCGGGCTGTGAGTACGCTTTTTATCTCACTCCCTCCCCACTCCCACCTCCTACACTCCCTCTGCCACCTCCTCATCGTCCTGCCACTCCTCCTCCTCCTCCTCCTTCTCCTCCTCCTCCTCCTCCTCCTCCTCCTCCTCCTCCTCCTCCTCCTCTGATATCCTTCTGCTGCACCGCAACGCTCGCGTACACTGAAAGGCGTGTGTGGACCACAGCAGCCGCATGCACCACAGCGCCCGTGTACACCACAGTGCCAGCGTGCATTACAACACCTGTGAAGACCGCAATGCCTGTGCACACCACAGCAGCCATGTGCACCGCAGCGCCCGCATACGCCACGCACCACAGCGCCTCTGCACACCTCAATGCACTGTCCGCATACACGTCGGTGCCTGCGCGTGCGTGCACCACAGCGCCCGTGTACACCACAGTGCAATGGTCCTGCGTGCACGTCGATGCATGCGTGCGTGCGACAGGGCGCCTGTGCACTCCTTACAATGTCTTTTGGAGTCTGCAAAGGTTCACGCTTGTGGCCGGTTGCCAAGCGTCACCGTTACGGGAATTGGGTCTGGCGGGGTAACACGTGTTACCCCCGGGGGCCTTAAAAGAATAGGCACGTTGGTGACAATCGCACACGAGAGGCGGACATCAGACTCACTACAGATCAACAGTATTGCGGCTAACGAGCACCACCGCTGGCCGCTTGCGTGAGGCCAAGCTCTTCCTCGTCGACCTGCTTGTCCTCCCTCCTCGGTTCCTCCACTTCTCCCCAGAGGTTACGAAGCTCTGGGTGCACGGCACTAGTGTTAGGTCGGGCATGTCCCCTTTTGGACGATGCTGCTCTTCTTCATATATATATGAATAAATATAAGTCAAGCATGTTCCAGCAACACTCGAAAATGTCCCCTGGCCATTTCTCGGCCATGTTTGAAGATTCCTCCTGTTCAGGGACAGGCCCGACCTGACACTATTGGTGCCCCCCTGCCGCTATGGTGCCCCCTATGCCGGCTCAGCGCCCCTCCGGGGGCGGCTCCCTGGGCGGCCGGCCCTTGCACTCCAGGAGCGAGGCCGCGATGGAGACGATGAAGACGGCCCCGATCACCAGGAAGGTGCTGGCAGTCGTGATGTCGACCCACGGGGACAGGATCATCTCCAGCGCCACGAAGATGGCTGGGTAGTCGAAGCCAGTCTGGCAGGCCCAGTCTGACAAACGGGGGCAGTCTGGCGAGGGAGCCAACGCGAAGCCAGTCTGGCGAATGCCCCACATCATCCGGTTTGGCCGGGCCAGATTGGCCCCATCCAATCTGACAGTCTGGCCTTCGACTACCCAGGATGAGGATGACGCACAGCCCGTACTGCAGGAGCTCGAACTTCTGCAGCAGGACGGCGAGGACGAAGAACATCGCGCGGAGGCCGAACATGGCCAGCACGCTGGAGCTGAAGGCGACGTAGCCGTTCGTGATCAGGGTCACCTTGACGGCCACGCTGTCCACCGAGAAGACGGTGTCGATCCACATGATCATCAGGATGGCGACCAGCAGCAGCGAAGCCTGGAACCTGCCGCTGGACGCTTCTCGCAAGAATACCGATCCGTCCGCGGTGTAGCCCGCCGCGAGGCAATCGCCAAACAGCAGCTTCAGAACCCGGACCACGACGAGGTCCTCTAGGGCGACATGTTCATCATCCTGTGGGATGGTGCCCTGGATGCCGACCCAAATCAGCATTGCAGCACACGGATACCGGATCCACGCCATATGTTCCATCATCCACTCGATGCTCATGAAGAGCAGCAGGCGGGCGACGATGGAGCAGGCGATGCCGATGATCATCACATTTGGGTAATCGGCAACGGGCGTGCGGATATTGATGAAGATCATCTGGATCATCATCAGATTGTCCAAGGAGAGCATCCACTCGATTCCATATCCCATCGCCCAATCTGCTGCATCCTCAGTGCCGAACCGTATCCAAACCACGATGTTGAAGGCAAGCGCGACGGCGATCCAGAAGCCCACCAGGGCGACGTACCAGCCAAATGTATTCGGCAAAATCTGGAGCACGGCCCAGTCCAGGGCGAAGAGCACCACGCACGCAACGGCGAGAATGGCCCAGTCCAGGAGTGGGGCAGACCCAAAGAAGCTTGAGGGGTTCATCACAGGGTCGTGCGCCTCCACGGCGGCCTTTTCACCGCTGAGGACACTCAGCACCCCAGGGCTCTCGCCTCTGATGCCGAGGTTGTCACCTGAGCATCGCTTCTCCGATCACCATGCCCACTGGCCTGGCCTTGACCCCACTGGCCGACTTACCCACTTAGGTGGGGATGCATGATCCCCAATTGAGGGTTCACAGCCCCAAGATGGGATGGGCCCCAGGATTCCACAGGTCCCCCCCCCGATAGGATGGACGACGACGACGACGACGACGACGACGACGAAGGAAGACGACGACGACGACGACAACGAAGGAAAGAAGACGATGACGGAAGACAACGACGCCGCCGCCACCGACGACGACGAACCACTATACACACACAGTGGGAGGGGGCAGCAGCATCCACCACCATGCCACGCCCACAGGGCCAAGACCATGGGGGGGGAGGGCGATCCCATTCGCGAGACCTTCGCAAGGCTCACAGTTGTGCCCCTCGAGCGGGTGGAGGGGCCCGATCCTATCAGCAGGGGGGGGGCGGCGGAGCCGTGGATCATGTATGATCCCGGGCCCAGGGTGCACAGGCGCTCCCCCCGCAAATGGGATGGGCCCGACGGTTCCATAAGCCCCCCCCTCCCAGATATGACGGGAGGATAGCGACGACGCCGAAGCCGACGCCGACGCCGACGCCCACGACGACGACGACGACGACGACGACGACGACGACGACGACGCAGATGGTGCCGACGACGACGCCAGCGCAGCCGCCGACGCCAACGCCGACGCCGACGCCAACGCCGACGACGACGCACGACGACGACGACGACGCACTACGACGACGAACCACCCCACACCCACAGGGCCACGACCACAAGGCCACGGGGGCGCACCCGCACCCACCACCAAGCCACGACCACAGGGCCACGGCCACAGGGAGGGGGAAAACGATCCCAAGCGCGAGGCCCTCGCGAGACCTTCGCGGGCGTCACCCCAGGTGGTGTTCGGTGCTGCCCCCCCGAAAAGAACTCCGACTTGGCAATTGGATGCGGGGGTCAGCGGCCGAATGATTTTCCGCCTATTGTTCGCCGTGCTGGTTTTTGGTGGGTGGTGATTTCTCATGGTGGATATCACACCCTGGGTTACACTACGCGAGATGAGGGAGAGAGGGAGAGAGAGGGAGAGAGAGAGAGAGGGAGAAATCCCGTGGCTGTTTGTACAAGGTCTGTTTAAACAATCCTGTACCCTTGCCGTCGATGTCGTCGTGGTCGTCGTCGTCGTCGGCGTAGTGGTCGTCGTCGCGGTCGTCGTAGTCGCAGTAGTCGTAGTGGTCGTAGTCATCGTAGTAGTCGGCGTGGTTGGTA